AGTAGAATGGCTCTGTAAATGCTGATGTTTGTACTTTTCTTCAGGTGTTTGTTTCACCACACTCTTTTATGGAGTTTACCAAACGCTCTGTACGTCTTTGCTAACCTGTTGTCTATTTCTGCATCAATCTTACCGTCCGAGGAGATGATGCTTCCCAGGTAATTAAACTGCTGGACTGATTTGAACTCTGTTTCACCAACGATGATATGGGGATGATGGGAGACTTCCTGAGGTGCAGGCTGATACAAAACTTCTGTCTTCTTCAAGCTGACTTCCAGCCCAAAAAGCTCAGCAGCCTCTGCAAAGCAGGATGTTAAACGCTGCAGAGCTACTTCTGTGTGGGCTACGAGGGCGGCATCATCAGCATAAAGCAACTCACGGACAAGATGATTTAAGGTCTTAGTGTGGGCCCTCAGTCGCCTTAGATTGAATAGGCTCCCATTGGTACAATATTGAATGTAGATACTGTTTTCTTCATCGAGGTCTGCCGTGGCCCTTTGGAGCATCATGCTGAAGAAGACTGAATAAAGTTGGTGCGAGAACGCAGCCTTGCTTCACACCACTGGCTATGGGAAAGGGCTCAGAAAGTGCATCACCATATCTGACTTGTCCGCGCTGGTCCTCATGAAGCGAGATAATCATTTTGAGGAACTTGGGGGGACATCCTAAACGTTCCAAAATCTGCCACAGACCTTTTCTGCTCACAATATCAAAAGCCTTGGTGAGATCAACAAAAGTTACATAGAGTCCTTTGTTCTGTTCCCTACACTTCTCTTGCAGTTGCCTGAGAACAAATACCATGTCTGTGGTACCTCTGTTGGCTCAGAAACCACATTGGCTTTCAGGTAGAAGTTCTTCTGCTATGGCGGGTATTAATCTGTTTAAAAGAATTCTTGCAAGGATTTTACCAGCAGTGGAGAGCAGAGTAATACCTCAGTAACTTGAGCAGTCTGATTTATCTCCTTTCTTCTTGTACAAGGTGACGATGACAGCGTCACGAAGGTCTGAAGGCAGTTCACCTCATTCCCAACAGCGCACGACAAATTCGTGAAACTAAGTATGGAGTGCTTGGCCACCATGCTTCCAGACTTCAGGTGGGATTCCGTCAACCCCAGCTACCTTGCCAATTTTCACCTGCTGTATTGCTTTAAGAGTTTCTCCCATGGTGGGGGCAGTATCCAGTTCAGTTTTCACGGGTTGTTATGAAATGTACTGCATTGCTGAGTCTTGAACTACACAACTAGTACTGAAGAGAGTCTGAAAGTGTTCAGACCATCAATTCAAAATGGAAACTTCACCTGTGAGAAGCACGTGACCATCTGCACTGAGTAAAGGGCTTTGAACCTGGTGTGTAGGACCGTAGGCTGTTTTCAGAGCCTCATAGAATCCCCTGTAGTCACCTGTATCTGCGCATAATTGGATTTTTTCTGCTAGATTGGTTCACCACTTGTTCTGGATGAGACGAAGTTTCTGCATGCGAGTCGAAAGGCTGCTTTTCTTATATGACAAAATGGCTGAGCAAGGTGGGCTTACTCAACAATTCCTGGATCTCATGGTTGTTTTCATCAAACCAGTCCTTGTTTTTCTTGAAGGAAAACCCCAAGGATTCTTCAGAGGACTGCAGAATGCTATTTTTAATAAACTGCCAAAGCACTTCAGGAGAGGGATCTGTGGAATGAACTTCGAGCCTGGATTGAAGATTTGCCTGGAAACTGTCTCTCACTGTAGCTGTTTGAAGATTGTTAACTTGAAGTCTCCTTCTAGGAATACCGCTCTTTTTAGGTTTGAACTTAAGGTGGAGATTAAGTTTACAGCGCACAAGGCGATGATCTGTTTGGCATTCTGCACCAGGCATCACGCGGGTGTGACGAACATCATGGATATCTCTCTGTCGGACCAAGATATAATCAATGAGGTGCCAGTGCTTGGATCTAGGATGCATCCAGGTTGTCTTCAAACTATCTTTCTGCTGAAAGATGGTGTTGGTGATGGTAAGCTGCTGCTCCGCACAAAACTCTAGCAGAAGGTGACCATTATCATTGCAGTTTCCAACACCATGCTTACCTAGTACTCCTTTCCAGGTTTCAGAGTTCTTTCCTGTTCTGGCATTGAAATCACCAAGAATAATGATCTTATCATCTGCAGGAACCTTTTGGATAAGACGGCGTAGGTCAGTGTAGAATTTATCTTTTTCTGCAGGGTCAACTTGGAGGGTTGGGGCATATATACTAAAGAGAACAGCATGTTGCTTGTTGCGTAGTGGGAGGCGTAGGTAGATAATATGATCAGAATGACCAGTCTGCAGATTTTCAAGTTTAGAGGCAATAGAGTTTTTAATCATGAAACCAACTCCTGAGAGATGCCTTTTAGTTCTGGGTATAACCGGCACCATGTTCTCTAAGGCTACCTTCCTCATGGAGGCAAACTTCACTGAGAGCAGCAATGTCAATGTTGAGTCGTGACAGTTCGTGGGCAATTAGAGCAGAGTGGCACTCAGGACGTCCACTGTTTGCAGTATCAAGCATGGTTCTGATGTTCCAGCATGCAAGTGTTAATTTGAATACACCTTTGAAGGTGTATGCCTTTGACTCTTAATCTTTATTTGACCACAACAGAAGATGCCTGTTGGCTGCGGTTTACCAACTGGGTGAAGGGTGGAGATGAGCTTTGGTTAGGCCACCTTTTCTAGGCCCCTCTCCATGTGGAGCAAGCAGTGCTCTCCTTGAAAAAGGCTGCTTGGTCATTCAGGATGCTGCCAAGTGAGTCTGTCATCTCCAGGGTCAGACTCAGGCAACCAATGTCCTGAACTGCCTGCATGCAGGGTTAGGACTGTGGCTTCCAGTGCACCTTATCACCTGCTGTTTCGTCCCTCACCTGTCACTGCAGAGCTTTACAAGTGTGGGTATAACCTTCAAGCCTGCGCACTGGATTTTTTAGGTGAGGCTCAACTTGTGCAGAACTGGTCCCACCCTTTACTCCTGAGGTTCATCTGCCAGGGCCTAGCAAGCTTGGACGGTGACAGTGAGGTCCTCAGGATGTAGGTTTAATTAGAGTATCCTTCTCTTGGATGGATGGCCTTACAGGGCTAAGCGAGCTCCATCTGCCCGGGTTTGAAATTAGAGTTGTCCTTCTCCTAGGATGACCACCGGAAGGCTAGTGAGCCCATCCTGCCAATGGACGCATTTGACCCTTCAGTTTTGACCTGTCTGGCATGGGAGACCCTACCAGAGGCATATGCCACCATCAGCACAGCTCGCAACCTCATAAGGGCATACTGAAATAGTTTGGACAAGCCCTTCTCTCCCTACTTTTCCTTCACAACTTCCTACAGTTTAACCCAGGTATATTTCCTTGCCCTGAGCACCCCTCCAAGACGCTATAATTAAAAAAAAAGAAGCAACAAACAAACAAAAAAACCAACCAAAGCAACAACAACAAAACCACACCACATTCCTGGGCAGAAGCCACAGGCAAGCCAAGCCCATCACATCTCACCACCACTGCGACAATGCCTGAAGAGGAGCAATCCTGGCATACCCCTGGGCAAGGGCAGGCACACATGTAAGAGGTCCCCACATCCACCTAGGGCTTGGGCACCATCCACAGCCCTGCCCAGCCCAAACCCACCAGCCCCCAGAGAAACCCACTACCCACTCCAAACCTCACCCCTCCAGCATGCCGCCACAAACCCTCCCTTGCACTGCCCAAACAAGGCCGCCCTGCCCACCCCCCAGGTCTGTCCGCCTTCCCCCCTGCTCTTGCCCGGCCTGACCCAGCCCGGCTCGGGGATTTCCCCTGCAGCTGAACCGGACCATCCACCCATACCCCCTGACGTTCTGGGGAACCCCCAGGTCCATCCAGCCCCCTCCCAGCTCCCACCCGGCCCGACCCGGTGCAACCCAGTCCTGTGACCTGGCCTCGCATGGCCACCGACCATTCGCCAACCGCTCCACCGCTCTGACATCAAAGCACAGCTCCTGGCAGCTTCTCCATGAAGGTCGGCTGCATGGATCAGTGTGGCAGCATCTCCCATGCATGCAGCGCGGCGACGAGCCGCAGGAGCAGGAGCGAGTCCCTCACCACCCAGCTGCCTGCCGAGCACATGGCCGCCCGCCCGCCATCTTGGCCACCCGTCAGGGGTGATATTTTTGAGGTTAATAGCTTTTAGCAGATTCCTTCTTATGTGAACTTGCCTAATCTCATTAGTATACTTACGTTGACTTCTGACTTCCAAAGCAACATGAGGCAGGGAGTTTCACAGTGATAAAGGAGCACAAAAAGATGTCTCTCCTGTTGGTGATTCTAAGTCTGTTTTTTGATAACCTAACTTGATGCCACAGATTTTTTTCATTAAAACAAATATGGGAGCCTGTTTTCATTTTTATGTATGCCACTCATTGTGTGGATCTCCAGCATATTTCCACTCAGTTATTTTACAGGCTAAAAAAAATTCCCAGTCTGTGCAGTTGTTTCATGTGTGGAATCTTTTTGTGCTTTGAACCCTTTTTACTGCCTTTTAATGTAGCTTTTTTTAGTTGTATAATCTTTAGATGAGAATCAGAACTACATTCATGAAGTGGTTGTGCCATGGATTTTTTACAACGATGTAATTAGTCTTTTCTATAACTTTCCTAATATTTCTCAACTTAGGAATTGTTTCTTTCCTCCCCATAACAATAACTGTCTCCATTCCCACATTGTTGACCTGATTTTAAATTTTGTTGATGCAGGAATATACCAGTGACATGATAAACTTTGAGGTAATGGCATCAGTTACTGTAAAATTTTGCAGATGTAACCAAGTAATATTTGAGGCCATAACCTTGGTGAGCATCAGAAAGAATTTAAAGCCTGTTTACAAGTTCAGCGTTCCAACATTTATCTTGTCCACGAGCTGGGTAGCAACTCAGGTTGGTTTTAGAATCCAAATGTATCTAGAGCTGCACTGTACTTGCACATCAGCAGGCAAGATTTCTATGTCTACTTTTCTTTAATTGCAGGTATTTATGAGCCGCCATTTCTTGTATTATTGTGGTGAACCTACTCTGGATGTGAAGATTGCCTTTTGTCAGGTGTGTGTTCCTTACAGGTAAAACAAGGTACAGTATATACTTGTACTTCATTTTTTACAATTCATACTATAATAAAATTAAAAATAGAAATGAATTTCAGCAGCTTTCTGCGAGTAACTGGTTATAAGAAAGGGAATAAATACAAAAAATGCAAAAATGCATCATGAAAATTACTTTTCTATTTACTTGATTAATGTTAATGTAATTTTTTAGTGAAAAATAATTTGTTTGCAAACAGAAAAATGCAAATCTAAACTATTTTATCTTAACCTCTTTTTATTTTTTTTTTTATTTTTTGAGACAGAGCCTTTTACGTTGTAGCCTGTGACTGTAATTTTCTGTCCCTTAGTTTACCTTTACTGGAAGGGTAGGGAGGGTAATTAAAATTGTGATGTTTGTCTTGTCTCCTATTGAACTCTATGTGCTGTGCAGGTTCCAGAGTGGTGAGACTTCACAATAGCCAATTCCGTATTTCTACAATACCTTTGAAATTGCTTGGTCACAATGCATGGTAGTCTACAAGGCTGAGACTAAACTGGTAATGCAAAGAAAAAAGCTTATTGATTTGTTCAGTTTTTGAATCTCTTTGTTGAGTTAGTTAGCATATATGTACGTATATGTGTATTCTTTTGCTTGTGAATGAAAGATGACCTTTTTTGCTCACTTCTATACAGTCCTTTGTGCTGAATTCTGTCTCTTCATAGTTTTGTTTGTTTGTTTGTTTGTTTTGGTTTCTTTTTGGCGGGGGGAGGGGTTTGGGGTGTTTTTTGTGAGATGGAACACTGATGGAACACCAGTAATCTAACTAACTGGGGGGACATTAGGAACATTCTTCACTTTTTGAGGGTGAGAATGTAGCTGCATTCTTAGAAATTACTTTATGATGAACACTATTTCTTCAATTTTATATTACATTTGGGGTTCAAGTAAGTTTAATAAGAAAGGTCTATTATGTGTATGTAAGCATTTAACACAAAACAGTGACAGGTGTTGGAAGGTTTGCTTTGTGTTTTTTAATTCTGAAGTACTAAATACTTGTTCTCCTGAGAAGATTGGCTCTGGACTAAGTAACCATTAGTTCTGGGATGAATCTTGGCTATTCAGTTTGATTATCTGTATAACTGTCTTCTCTTTTTTGTCTTCTTTACTTTGTTCTATATGTTCAACTGGCTTAATTCTTCCACAGTTTTTGAGAGAAGGGATTTTGCTAAACATAGTATTTTTGTAATGTTTTGACAGTTTGGTTCAAAAAAAAAAAAAGTGCAAAACCTGCAAAACAGGGTTTTTTCTCAAATTGTATGAGAAAGATGTTATTGATGAAAAAGTTACTTTCACTATGCAGAATAGAGTTTTTTGCATAGCTCTGCTGCTGACTTTCCTCTCCATTTTACTTGAACCAAAACAAAGCTGTACAGAAACATTTCTATGTTTCTGTGTTCATGCAGTGAGGAAATGTACTCTAAATCACTTCCTTTTACATACAGTTCTCATTTAGTCTTGGCATCAGTCAATCTGTGCCTATGTGTAGCCAATCCTTTCTGTCATTGCACTCCAGGTTCTTGATGTACTGAAGACATTCCTTTTCTGTTACTATGACTTGATAAAAGGTGTTCAGAGGCACACAGAGAACCACATCTATTCACAGTGTTTTTGTTAAAATATATGTGATGAAATCAAACAGCATTTTGGATGCATTTTTATCACTGAATGAAATTGATTCATTTTTAACGGTTGCAGCAGATGCCCAGAGAGGAGTCATCCAATAAATACACAAAAAGAGATACTATCCCGATATTGTAGGAAACAGGATTCTATTCTTTAAGCACTTATCACACAAATAGCTTTTCAGGGTCTTCAGGTCTTCACATTGATTCTCTTGCAGATAAAAGCTGGTTTAAGCTTCATGTTAATTTATTCTCTCCATAAAGATAGGTACTGATCCAAATAGAAGTTAGCATTATATACAAAAACAGTCTCTAAATTAAGTGTTTTGTTGCATTAAGACTTTAGCTGTCACGGGTGCTGTTCATTTGTATTGCGTAGGGTGGGATGGGGTTTATTTCTCTGTCCTGGTAATACTTCATCCAAATATCCAGATCTTTACGTAGAGACTGTGGATAGTCTCCAGGTAGTAATGTTGTCTATTCCATTCTTTTTAATGTTAATGTGGAAATCAAATGCCCTGTGGTTTACTAATAATGCTTCTGCTTTGACTATAAAGCTCATTTGTACCTTTATGAAATTTCCATGTGCTAAATCAGTAAATTGATAGGATTCTGTTAACAAAAGATGACGGTGTCACAGCAGAATGATGGTAATCAGCAACAGGTAGATATTGCCACTCATATCTTGAGGTGTCTAAAACTGACAACTATCCCAACAGTATCTAGGCAGGAGAGCACAATACTGTAGCTTTGAGTGAACATGTGGCTTGTGTTTATTACGTACAAGTCCTGCTTCCATTTCAAATTTGCTCATCGCTGCAGACTTTCTACAAACCTTAAGACTTTTGCTGAAGTGTAGTAGTGAAGTACAGTATTGAGGAGAACTCCAATTATTTTTAGTACTGGGAGTGTATTTTTCTTGTAACATACATTTGTGGCAGTTTCTCTCTCATGGCCTAAAAGGCATAGCTTTATGGGCTGTGAAGGAAAGTGGCATATGCATAATGATAGGCTCCTTCTCTTGAGATGCCACTGAGCATACTAGTTTTGTATGATAAAATGCTAATTCAGCAGGAACAGAATTTTAAGAATTTCCAACTTAAGGAAAAAGGAAAACCCTTACTGAGAAATACCCAGTAGCATAAATAGAGTAAATATATACGTCCTCACCCCTTCACCCCATTTCCAATATAAAAATACCTAAGTGGAATTACTGGACAATGCAAGCCATTTCATGTTCGGAAACAACCATCTTTTTTTTTAAGGCTGAAGAAAAGGATCTCTGCTTTCCTATCATAACAGAAAGGTAGAGCAAGAAGGCCTATAGAATTTCATTATACTTCTGTAAGGCCAATATCACCAACAAGTTTTATCTGTAGGACCCTACACATTGTTATTGAAGCACAATGGAATGCAGAGTAGTATACTGTAAGTAGAATAGGGCATTTAATTTTAATACTAATTTTAATAATAGCTAACTATGCCTAAAGGATAGTGACTGCTTTATTCTTATTTTCTTCCATTTAGTCTTTCAGTATCTTTTTTTAATCAATATCAAGAGAGGTATAGCCTGTCAGAATTTTCAAGTTTCCTAAATTTGTAACTTTATTTTATTTGTAATACAATTCTGTGATTTTTTTTTTTTTTTTACTTGGACCAGTAGTACTGAATTTTCTTTTCTTTAAAAAACGTCTTTATTATTACAATTTGTGTATCAGAGAATTTCCATATTGCTACAGTTAATCTTTTAATTTAAACAAATAATTTAAAAATCTAATTTAAAAATTAATCTTTTTTAATGCAAAGTGGGATGTGGAATTACTGAGATTAGCTATTGAGGAACTCAGCCATACACATTAAGAAGAAAATTAAAGTGAATCATGAGTGTAAATTCACATGCAATTTCTTTGGTTACACATCATCATTAGTCTTTATCACTCAATTTAAACAAATGATGTGTTAAAATAGAGTGAACAAAGCAAATGTATAAAGATCAGTGACTAATCAGTTGAGCTTGAGTTATTAGCAGGGCTCACCTGGCTACTTGAAAGGCAAGCTTCATAAAGGAATGTAGATTGTGTCTGGGGTCTAGGGCATGGCTGCTGGAGAGAGATTAAAAGAAGGCAGAGAATTAATGTTTAAATCCCACTCAAAGTACACTAAAATCAGGAAGACTGCTGATTAATACAATCCTTACAGAATGAGAATGAGGGGAAAGAATGGAGAACTGTGGTGTGATATGGCTGGTAAGATAAAAACCTGTAATATTACATCCAAACACATAGAGAGGATGAAAAACCTACTTTCTGTAGGAGATTTGATCTCTATCTGTGGACTTTTGAGTAGAATAAGTGAGAAGTCTGTCTTTATGGTGAGAAAGATAGATATAATTTCTGCCATAAATGTGACATATTCAGAATACAGGACTAAAAATACTTTAGCAGGTCTTTCTGTGCGAAGATACTTGGTATTTTCCAAGTGGCATTTTCTGTGGCCATCCAAATTGACACAGCAAAACCTTTGATCATTAAATCCAAAGCAGAGGGCTCAGTAAACGCATGTTTATCCCAGAATTCTGGCACTTGAATCTTGTGAGAAAATTACAGCTGTGCAAGTGGGAGGATAGCCAATAAATTAATAGCATTGTTGCCTTAACCGATATGCACAGGTGAGCAGGTCTTGCCTCTGTGTAAGTTTTTGAAGCTGGCAAGAATACTGAGGGTTTTACCATACCTGTGAATTTCAATTTGTATAATCTCAGCATCTGACTTTTAAGGTTAAATTGTAGCTTTAAGATGTTATCCTTTTGGATCCTGAGGAAATCAGAGGCAGCATCCACCTCTGAAATGTGCTCTTGCCTATACTATACTGATCTCTTTGCCTGAGATGAGGTGGAGATGTGAGGGCCAATGGTGAGCCGTCAGGATGGCTGGCTCAGAACATCCTCTCTATCGCATCCTACTGGTCTTTGGACACTGTACCAACTGCAAATTAGGAGGCAGCCTTCCATCTAATTCTTCTCCTCACCTGCAATTACAGAAGTGGAGTCATTTAGCTGATTTCAGTAGCCTTGCATCCTAGCACCCTGGAAAGGGTGTCCATGTAGGTATTCCTGGGGGCAGACAGGGAAGGATGCCAGCATGGAGATCAAGTTTCCCCTCCACTGATGCCTGCTAACAAGTTCTGTGACAGCACTTATTGTCTTGGAGATGCAAAGAAGAGCACTTTGTGTTAAACCACCATTAGTGTGATTTGTATCTCTAAAATAAAAAATGGAAGAGATACTGAACTATAAGAAACTGTGATATTTTAGGCTCATCAATAATTGAAAGAATGGTGTTCAGAAAGGTCTGTCTGTGAAATATAATAAATATGGTTATTTTGTAGGATGGAAATGGACAAATAAAATGGGATATCAGGAAGCAATTCACATCGTAATATAGAAGATAACATCCTTTTCTTTCTGTTGTGCGTTTTAGGTTTTTTGCTGCCTGTGCTCTGAAAGAAAAAATTGAAAGAATACAATTTGTAACTGTGTGAGGCAGTAACTTGTTTAAGTTTACTGATTTTTTAAATAATTGTTCTTTGAAAGAAAAATATGTATGCTCACTAAGCATTTAGTAATTGTGAGAGTATCTTTTTCCCTTCACCTCAAATGTTTGAGTCCTGACAGTTTATTTTCTTTCCTTCTCAATTGGTTGAATATTAAGCAAACATCATTGCCGATGTGTTTAAATGAGCCAACAAGGATAGTTGTTTTCAGGGCTGGAAAACTTTCACTTCACTTTCCCTTAACTTTCTCAGGATGGAGGAAAGAGAATGACATTGGGAAGTGAGTGTAGGAGTGTGTGTTAGAAGTTTTCAATTTTGTCTAAAAAACAAAATAATGGTGCTTACATTTTTGTACATGTGAAATGAAAGTTAAGTTCCTGTCAGTGTTGAAGCAACGTAATTCCATTGTCTAAATAGTTATGGAAACCAAGAACAAATGGCACCCCAATGCTTACTTTGTCTCTGATGAACAATCTTTCACATTATGCAAAGGACTGCAAAACTATGATGTGTTTTGTTCAAATTGAAAGGAATGGAGAAATTTGCTTTTGTTTCACATCTGCAATGTTTACTATTACTTTGGGGCCCCAGTACTGTACCTCACCCAAGTTGATTTGAAGTTCACCTGAAAATTTGACTCGATGGAATTTGCTTTGCTGTATGAAACCTATACACCTTTTCTGTGATATCCTGAGAAGTGAACCTGATTGTTACTATAAACTTCCTTCCCCCATCTAATTCTGAATGAAGTGCTGGTTCCTAGTTTCTTAAGTTGTCAATATCATTCTCATTTGAGAGAAGTTTTTGGTTTAGGTGTTTATACAGAAGGGTGTATAGTGGTCTAGTGGTTAAGGGTGCGGTGCTGGTCACCTCCAAGGCCCGGGTTCGATTCCTGATCAGGGTCACTCCCGGGCAGATGGAGGTCGTTAGCCCTGTAAAGGCAATCCATCTACGTCCTGAGGACCTCTCTGCCACCATCCAAGCTCGCTTGGCCCCGGCAGATGAACCTTAGGATTAAAGGGTGGGCTCAGTTCCACGCACACTGTGTCTCACCAAAAAAATCCAATGCGCAGGCTGGAAGGTGTAAAGACCTTCCCCGGATCTTCGCTCGCGAAGACTGGCCATTATTATTATTATACTGGAAATTCCTAGCCCTGGGTTCCTTTCTGATGCCAGATAATCAAAACTTTAACTGAAGCTGCCAGTACAGAACTTGTAAGCATTTATCCAGTAAAACCTGAATCTGAAATAACTTAGTGATGTAGATGGTGGGCAGGGAGAGGAGGGAAGGGGATATGTTTTCTATACCAACACCAAGGCTTCTCGAAGGGGTTTGAAAGAGCACTGAAAACGTAACAGAACAAGACAAAAATGTAGTGTTCAGGTTTTTTAAGGTGAGTTATGTGGATTTGAAGAAGCTGTTCATCAGGGTTTGAAACTAAAACTAACATTGATGTGCTTTATAAAGAGTATGAATTTCCTTGCTAATGGGAAAAGGTTTTTTACCTTAATTTTAGAATAAAACAAAACTGCTTTTTCCTTGTCCTCATTAGGAAGTGACTGTTGTATCAACTTGGAGATGGTTCTTGATGTATCATCTTGGTTTGGGGATCTGATCAGATGTGATTATTTCAATAATGCTGTTAATTTATTGATTTAGAGATTTAATTTAAGTTAGGATCATGACAAGGATACTTATTAATCTCCTTGTTCTTATGAATGTAAGCAGTACATTGGGCTGTAGCAGTAGGCTTATTGTGTCTTCATTTTGCTTCTTTAAGCTTTGGTTAAAAATCAGAAAATATGGGGGGGGTTGTATTTTTTTAGGAGTGTGCGTTTTAAAGTGAGGAGGCAACTTAGTAGATGACCTGGAAACTGTTTAGCCTGTTCACAAAGCTAAAGTGTTTGTCGCTCAGAGGAGGCATTCTGCTTGGAGTTAACTTCAAACTGAATCCGAAGTTATGCTCGGTGTTTATGTTTTGTTTTCTGTTAAAGACCTTATGGTGCACAGATTCTTAAGTACACAGAAAAATATTAATCCCAAAAGAAAAAACGATTCCATGAAAAATAAAACAGTCTTTACCTTTTCTACTCACACACCATTAGGAGCAGATTGTTATAGGAATGATCTGTGTTACATAGAGGAGAGCTGTTCATCAGGATATTTGTGTGTTCTTACCAGTTGTGGTTTTCTGTGTCCCATGACTTTAGTTGCTGTTGACTGAAGCAATTACATTTGCTAATTATCCATATAACTGAGGTACTACAAAGTGGTGGGTTTGAGCTGTTTTAATTGATTAAGATTTAAAATAAGCACCTGCTGAAACTGATATAGTTAAGAAATCTCACTATAGGCAGCATGAGGTTCCTGAGGCCAGTAATTCACGCGGTTAGACTAACTTAAAAACAAGAAATTTTGATGTGCACACAATTCTAAATGTAAAGGGATAAAATATCTGTTCCCATGTAGCTCCCTACTACACAACAAGCTGTCAGGTAGCTCGGGAGTGAGGATACAAACAAGTTGTGGCAGGCCTGGCTCACCCAAGCCTTAACATAGTTATCAAATGTGTTTAAAAAAGTCTCTGTATCTATACTTCCAGAGGAGCTGGCTATGAGTCAGGCTCACTTAGGAATGCATTTTTTATGATGACACTTTTTATATAAACATTGATTTCAGAGTAATGGGTGTTAATGCTAAATATCTCATGCATTGTTCTGATAATGACATCAGAAAAAAAACATGCTCCAAATGTGTGTGTCTAGCCAGAGGGAGCTGTGAAATTCCTGTCTGTCAGGAGCATATTATTAAAAAAAAAAGCCTCTCAATTCCAGGTATGAATATCTGGGCTAGCCAAATTTATGCATCTCTCTTCATCTAATGGAAGAAATTTTAAGACTAAGACTACACAGTGTGAATCAGATGCAGTCTGTTTGTCTTGCAATGAGAAAAATTCATTTCACTGTCTGTAAGCTTCAATGTGCCACTGTGTCAGTGTCCATAAATCTCTCCCTTTCTGTGTTAGGGCAGGGCTTTCCTCCTCCTTCCCCCTGCCACATATGAATAAAAAGTATATGTAAAGTTTCTAACTGGTCTTCTGAAATCAGATTTTGTGTTTGAATGAAGAGCTACATTTATTAAAGTGTTTTGAAGTCTCTAAATGAATTGATTGGGATGAAGCACTGCTATCCAGTGACAATGGGCCTTCCAGTGTGATAGTGGACAGAAAAATATTATTAACTATCCTAAGGCAAACCTGACAATCCAAGTTCTCAGCAAGGTCAGTTACCTGTTTTTAATGACCAGCTTTGTGGAACACTGCAAAGATGTTCTGTTCAATTGAAAGAGTAATACAATCCGAATCACCTTTACTTTTTTCCTGGCTCCATCAAAATTCAACTTAGTAATCCATAGACACATAACAAGGCAGATTATTCAGATTTTTGCAGGAAAAGAAAGAAATTTATAGTAGAGCAATTAAGTAAATTTAAAAGCCATGTTTGAAAATAAATGCACAGATAGAGGCACATTTTTGCTTTTCTCTGTGGAAGGCATTTGGGAAAGTCGTGACTTCCATAACTGAATTTTCAACTATTTGAGGATAGGTGTGTTGTAAAACATTGAACTTTTGCATTCTGTGCTCAGCATCGTCGTATAGAATCCTAAGTTAAAAGCATCTAATTCTGATTTTTATCTCAAATTCCTGTGTACTTTGCTCCATAGTCCTAAGGGAATTGAGCTCAGTAGTAGTAATAAAATGGTTATAATGGAATTAAGCAAATTTAGAAGAATTTTAAAAATTTTGTTAAAATTAGTAATTTTTAATTTTACAATTTTGGGGAGGAGCACTACTCTGCAGTGCAATAATAAACTTGGTTTTGTGTCACAAAAATTGGTGTTTGGTTAGTACTAATGCATTTGTTACATCATGAGAGCAACTCTCCTATCCTTAGGAATCTAGAACTTTGGAAGAATTCCAGACCTTCTGAATGTTCTCTGAGCCATGTTGGGTCACGGTTAGAATCATAAACTGCTCTGTTTCTTTTGCAACTCCTGTTGAAAGGTTCTCAATGCCTTTCTTATGCTCAGGGAAAGTTTTAGCACTTGTGAATACGCTTAGTTGCTCTGTCTGACCAACAATGGAGAGTCTAATTCCTGTGTCTCTTGACCCACTTTTACATTGGTGTAAGTCATCTTATTTTAAAATGAGGTATTTTTTGCAATACAAATGAGACTGCAGAATCTGCATGAACTCATAAGCCTCTAGTCATAAAGCAGCAGTAATGACAAGCAGAGACCATTAGTCAGCAGTTACAATGTCACAAACATCAGCTGGAGAATTCACTAGTGTTCTTTAATCAGTGGCTTTTTACGGTGACTTCCTGCATGAAAGAAGGTTTGATACAGTCTTTGAGAGTGTTCGAGGATTCATGTAGATCTATGTCAATGAGCCTAAAATGACCAGAAAAGATACTGAAAAATTAGGCTGGCAGTGTTTTATCAGTATTCTTACGTTTTACCAACCTTGCTTTCTCTGTTTTTTTTTCCACTCCCTCTCCCCTTCCCTTTTTCTGTACAACAGGGATTTGGGAAACAAGTGGATGTGTCATATATTGCCAAACATTACAACATGAGCAAAAGCAAAGTTGACAACCAGTTCTACAGTGTGGAAGTAGGGGACTCGACCTTCACAGTTCTCAAACGTTACCAGAACTTGAAACCCATTGGCTCTGGGGCTCAGGGAATAGTTTGGTAAGTATCAGCAGTTTCTCTTATGCTTTTAAATAGATTTGGGTTTGCATTTCTTCACAGTTTGCTGTGTCTAAAATTGCAAAAATAACAGTCAGGCAACACATCTTGAGGCTGAAGGAGCCCAGTCGTTTGCTAATAAATTCTCCAGCTGGTGAGAATGATAGCACTAGGTTTGTTTCTCCACATTGCAAAATGTAACTAGCAAGAGAGCAGGAGATCTCATCATAATTGACAACTGTGGCACTATTTCCAGAGGCAGTGCAGATAATAATCCCAAGTAAACCTAGTAATTTTAGTCTTTCTACAGTAAAAATCACTGAGAGCAATATAGAAACTTGTCCCATCCCACAGCATTCTCAAGTATTAAGAGTGGAAGCTTTTTGAATCGAGGTAACTGCTAATGTTTCCTTTATTTCTTAAAAGTGATTTTTCAGTGATGCAAATAATGGGAACAAAAGACACAAATTCAATAGCTCTCCTAAATAATGCAGAAGGCTTATGGAATTCGAAATTAGTATGTTCGAAAGTTGTTATATCCTGGTTGGTTATTATATCTTTATTTTTAGACAGGGCTTTTAAATTTCTGTGGCTTGTGTTTAAATGTCTTTGTGCAGGCATTTGTTAGCTGTTTAATTATGACGCATTAGGGTAACTAAAGCAGTCTTTTATCTATAACTTCATCAGAGATGAAGCCTTAATTCCGTCTGTCATCTCCGTCACTGCTCTTTTCCGGCTTTGATATACCATGTGTTACCTTACAGGTGGAGGCAGTGGTAAAGCAATAGGTTCCTTTAAACTAGTGGCAAATGGACTTCCATGGTTCATTGGCATTGGCACTGTAATTGGCAGTGTAACAGCACTGACAACATGTGCTTAGTTTCAGTCTATCACTTTCACTGTTTGGTATGCTTTGAGACCACACAAGTCCAGAGACTTATCTAAATTCTTAAGTACTTTATTTTGTATCTCAAACACAAAAGGACTACGTGGTAATTTAAAATCAGCTTTGGGAAAGAAGCATACTCTGAGTCGAGAACTAGTAATAATAATTTTCCACTATTTGTCCAAATCCATATATAGCAACAGATTGTTTTTCTTCCTACTTACTATTCTCTATTTGCTTTACAGGAAAATCAGTTCTTATTGAACCTTTCTGCAACTGAATTGCTGTAATGGTCAATTATGAGCAGCAAAACCCCATAGAAGTTATGCTAAATAAAATCAATAACATGCTGTGAATTTTTCCCTCATATTGTGAGTTGACAGCAAAAATTAAGAATTTCTTAGGAAATAAAATCTAAACAGAAAATAACTAAGTTCAAGAGAAAGTTAACATAAGTCCCCTGAAATGGCTGAGCAGTGTGGAGAGGCCCTATAAGAACTTTTACAGTTTGATGATACAGATATATAAGCATTATATGATAGGCAGGGAAGATAATGAACATTTTTTCTTAGTTTGTGTTACACTGTAATCTCCCTTTTGTGAGGCATAATTTACCAGAGATACAATAACCATCTACAAACAAAGCATGAAGAATCAATAATGACATGATTTATTAATGAAAAAACAGTTGTGAGATAAATATATGTAGTTTAGCTAAGAGAAAACAATACGTGATGAAAAACATCTAGAGGTGTGTTTCTATTTGCCTAATAGTAATAAATACATAGTAATAAGTTTACACAGTAAATTTTGATAGTATCAGTTTCTACTGTAGAAACTTACACTTATTTTAGAAGGAAAAAAATTACTGAAAATCTACCTACTTTGGAGTGCTGGTTGCTCTGGTGGGGAACTATTTTGTCCTGCTTATCTTGTTCTTTTGCAAAGAACCCAGATGTACCAAGAGGTAATTGTAGAGGCAGAGAAAGGTGGAGGAGTGACCTAATGTTTTTCAGGCTGCTCTGGAAGTGGGTGTTGCAGGGTTGTAGGCAAAGCCACAGAGTTCTGCAATCTTTCTCATACAATTCTATAAATAGGTATCAACATAAACAGGAGACTTTCAGTGGAAAATAATTTATGTTGTGGAACAGAAGCAGGCACAGGAAGCAGGGAATGCGGTTATAAAGAAGTGAAGACTTGGTTTCACTTGGTTATTCTGAAAATTACATCAAAGACAAAATTATTTTCTTGATATGGAAGCATTAAAGATATTAAGGTTTAACGTCTCCAGGAAATGATAATTTAATAAATTATCTGAAAAAGAGAAAACTGTATGGTGTAATTCTTGTAATTGTCATTGTGCCCATGTGAAATAATTATAAACTCAATGAGAAAATGGTATTGGCAATAGAGACATAGTACATTTGATATCTATGGAAATTAGTCTTTGGGAGCTTTCAATGAGTTTTGTGTTAATTATGTTCACAAAATTATTTTTGCCAGCTGAAAGAAAGGTATAAATAACTGCTTGGAATCTCTTGAGCAGGGAAGTTCTTCTTTAACCTACAAAATATACTATTAATATGAGTGTAGGCTCCTTGCTTACTGTACATTACACTGACATCTGTGAGAAAGACTATATGGGTTGTGTTTGCATATCATTATCATGTTGTTACAGGTGTGATGACAATGGGGCATAACTGAAACAGAGCTTGTAGTTTATTAGACCAAGCTGTAGTTGTAAAAACTTTGCAAGATTTTAACCACACTGTGATAGAAATGGAGTTTTCTGAGTTTAATTACATACGTGCCAATTAAACCACTTCAAGAAGAGGTAGCTGATACCCTCTGCAGTGTTAGAAGGGAGTTGACAACTACTTTATTTTGCAAGGGGGACTGAGATAGGACTTTCAGCCTGCATTTGTGGATGGTTTAGATGATGATGGATGAAGAGGAGTTCTCATGTTCCATAAAATCAAGAGAAATATGCTAATGTTGGGGTGGGTGTTTCTTTGTGTTTTAAATGAATGCTTTTAGCCTGTGTCGGGGTTTGACTCAGCCACTGCCTCTCTGGGTAGTCTCTGCCCGCATTCTGCACCAAAAAATGTCGTGGTTTTGCCTTGGGTCAGTATGCTTTCACACTCCCCACGCAATTACTATTAGGTGAGAGAGGGTTTATGCAGACAAAAGAGACTTGATTTGGGGAAAATAGTATTAACATTTATTACTAACAAACTAAAACTAAAAACTCTATCTACAACAATTCTACTTAAGTAAAAGTGCTATGTATTTACAGAAAAATACTTCTCCCCCCTTTATATCAGTCCAACGAGGAAAAAGCAGTCTTATTCTCCATTCTTGGAGTTCCAGGTCTCCTCAATAACTTTGCAGCACTCTCGTCGCAGCTGGAACTCCTTCTCTCTCTTTCTCGCTCTGTGTCAGCCTTCAGGGCTGGGCCTACCTCCCTCCTGGGCTAAGACCGGAGGCTAGGGGGTTACCCAGGTTCTGAAGGTTTTTCCTTCCATAGGCTTGCAAGGGGACACTTGCTTACTATGGATCTTCTTCCACAGGGTTACAGGGGATAATGGCTTATAAGTCCACCCCTGTTCCCTATGGAGGTCCCTTCCCATGGGAGAATAGGCCTTGATAGACTTCTCGGCATGGGTCTAGCATGGATCCCATGCATGGATCCCAACATCCTTACCCAAGCCGTTTTCTGCTCCAGCGTAAGGTTTTCTCTCTTTTTCAAAGTCACAGATTTCCAGCACCAGTAGCATGGATCTCTCACTGAAATCCCAATATCCCACCTGAGCTGTCTCGCTCCAGCATGGGTTTCCCTCAGGGTCACAAATCTTTCAACAGGACTCTGCCTTATTTTCAGTCCTTTTCATGAAGTCTCAGCTTCCTCATGCATCAATTTATTCCAGTGTAGGCTCCTCCACGAGTAACAGGGGGGTCTCCTCACCCCAAAAAATTTTCACAGGTAACAGGGTTTTATTTTTCAGTCTTTTCCCTGCTGAAGGGAGAGAGCAAAAAAAGGGGAAGAAACAAGCCCCCCTTTGCACAGTTCTTCTTTCTCCTCCAGCTGCTAGCTTTGACCTTGGACACTCCGTTATCTCTTTACCGGAATTCTTCTGCCACAGTTTCTGTCCAAGCACTTAGTCTTTTAAACCTTTTTTTTTTCTTCACTCTCTTATAAGAGAGAGGGGGGAGTTTCAGTGCTACACCTGCCCCCCCGGCCAAAGCCAGGGGAGGAGGAGGCCTGGCCCTCCTTGGGCCCACTGCTCTTCTACATGGCTGCTGCCCCTAATTTCAACTGCGCCACAAGCCTTCTCTTCCGTTTTCTTAAATACATAATTAGCAAAGGCATTACTGAGAGTTTTAATTGGCTTCTTGTCCGTAAATTCGCCTGGACAAAACCATTCTCAGCCCCAGGGGCTGACCGACTGGGCAAAACCACGACAGCCTGGAAGAAAGGTAATTGATCTGTAGGTTTTCTGCTGTGGTTTGCAAGCTATAACTTTTTTATGTTGCCTGTGATGTTTTTGATGCTGTGATGTCTAGAAAAATGATGTTGTACAGAAATATTTCAAAAGCAATTTGAAGAGGCTCTGATAATTTTTGAATTTATGATAGAAGAAAGGGTGAAGTCCAGGTTTCTATGGCAGATAGGAAAGACATTGCTTACAGACTTGAGAATACGAGTAATTAAAATCTTAGAAGTAGCTTATGAAGACATTTCGCCTTGTTTATTTATGACCACGTTGGTGCCTCTACCTGTGTGCATTATTAGGAGAAAATGTTAGCTTTGGAAACAAAGTTGTCTGAACATCAAATAAAGGAGTCTGATGATGCATTTCAGCTGAAATCCTGGATGTTTATCTTGCTTTTTTATTAAAAGTAAAGACAAGGTTTTGTGCTGCATAATGTTGAAATGTGGTCTAATGAGTGTTAGTTAGGCCCAGGGGAGTGTTATCTGGGAAGTGCTTCATGCTATCTAGTTTATGCAGGAACTTTTTGTGTGAGTAATGATTGAGTGTGGTGTATGGGAGCAGGAATTATGGTTTTATGATAGTTTTGAAGAGTACTGGTAGCTTCTCAGTGAATGTGTTATAAA